TTTAGGGTTTAGGGTTTAGGGTTTAGGGTTTAGGGTTTAGGGTTTAGGGCTTAGGGTAGAAGGAGGAAGCTCACCGAATGCAGCAGGAGGGAAGGGCAGGCGCACCCCAGTATTGTAGTCAAAGATGACACCCGTGTGGGCGGCCGCGTAGAACATGTCAGAAGACTCTGCGTCTGAAAGATTGTGCACGCCGCCAACAACATCCTGACAGGAGCTCCACACGCAGTCGGTTGAACACATCAGAGAAAGATTGATTCTTGCTTTTTTTTGTTGCGGGGGGGGGGGGGGGGGGGGGGGTCCTTGGAGGTCCTTGTTGATGCCCAATGTCCAATGAAGCGTCAGCGCTTGAGGCTCTCCGCTACTTGACCTCAGCGTGACGGACTCAGAAGTTCAGCAGAAGCTACGCAGATCTGTCAGAAAGCAAGCCAGGGCGTCGGCGTGCTGTTTGGCATGAACTTACTGGGGTCCGTCTCTGTTGCCTCCATCGCACCTTCCTGACAAAAGGACGGACCCTGCAACACAACAAGGACCGACCTCAAAAAACCATGATGACACGGAAGCCTGCCACCGCTTGCTTTGAAGCAGGGGAGCACAGGGGCAAGCAGGCACAGGAGCTGGCCTATCGCCAAGCCTAGCTGAGCCAATCGACGAATGCACGACGACAAATCACCGTGTTGCAGTGGAGCTGCTCAAACGACACAACGCGAACGACAAGCGAATCCGAAGTCAAAACGAACGATGCTAAAACACAGCCGCATCTAAAAGAAACACCCGCATTTACTCACATAAATACCTGAGAATGTTCGGATACTCTTTATGGCCATGAATCTTTGCTCCGTCAGACACACAAAGTAATGCGCGCACGGCCTATCCCATGCCCCGGCTTGGAAACTCTCTGCACATGTCTCAACCAGGAAGTTTTCAAATGCACCCGAGGTGGCCCTCAGCCCTCCTCGAATCCAAGCTAGCGAGGCTACACAAACGCCACAGCTGTCTGACATCTGTCTCCCCTGCCCCCCGCTTGCTTGGCAGCGCATCGTTTGGGACACTGATTTTTCTACGCGGTCTGTGGTTCGAATCGAAGGCCCGCAGGCTATCGCCTCTGCAGAAGGCGGGCCATCACTGCGAAGATCGGCATCTCAGCTGAGTTGTGGCTTCCCGTCTCCTGGAAGTATCATGGTCGTGATTTCAGGCTGGTATGCACCAGCTGCCTCCTTATGATTTAAAATTCAACACCATGTAGCAGCACGGCACAGGTGCTGTAGCTGGAACATGAAGACTCGCTTTTCCTCACATTCACGACAAAACGCCGACAAAACATCTTTCGGATGCATAGAGTGTCATGCGCGCCTGGCGCCACGCCACGCCAACGCAGGGGGCCGGCAAAACGAACCAACCCATGCAGCACCCAATGCCACGCCAACGCAGGGGGCCGGCAAAACGAACCAACCCTCAAACCCTCAAACCCTCAAACCCTCAAACCCTCAAACCCTCAAACCCTCAAACCCTCAAACCCTCAAACCCTCAAACCCTCAAACCCTCAAACCTCAAACCCTCAAACCCTCAAACCCTCAAACCTCAAACCCTCAAACCCTCAAACCCTCAAACCCTCAAACCCTCAAACCCTCAAACCCTCAAACCCTCAAACCCTCAAACCCTCAAACCCTAAACCCTAAACGACTATGCCTGGCGCCGGCTCGGCTGCCACATCGCTTGTGCCTTTTGCCGCCTGCGTGGAGCGTAACGGTGGCAGCAAAGAGCTCCACTGGCTGCGTAGCACTTCCGGCTTAGACACAAGTCCGACTGCATCACTTAGCTGCAACTGCTCATTACCGACATTCTTGGTCCAAAAAACCTGGCAGTTTGCACCCGCATGCAGACCTACCTAGACATCCACTTCTTGATGGCCCGCTTCAGTTCTTTAACTCAGAAGGAACGCTGAAGCCTTCATGCCTCGCCTCTGCATTTTTTATTTCAGCCTTTGAAAAAATGGTGATTCTTTGGGAAACACTACGAAGTGATACATGATGCGCCCGTAGTCTCGTACTGTATGTACATAGGAAGACTGCAAAATTCCCCAAAACCGTGTGTCAGCACTATGGGTTCATACGATCCGCAATGAAGACGAATTGCATCATCTTATGTGATCCTAAAGCATACACTGAAATCGACTCAAGCGACCCCACTTAGAGTTATACCTCTTCCTGCGTCTTGCAATAAGCCCTTGTTGGCGGGAGGGACAAACCCTGTCTGGCAATATGGAAATAGCTCCGCTGTCTTGATTCTGAAGCTCAGACTGAACGCCATTCTCGTCCAAGCTTTCGAGATTTGAACTTCGCGCTCATATTGCAAGGCCTGCGAGGTCCACCTTCAATACTCCTCTTGCGGATTTAGATTTAGATTCAGACGATGGGACGGTTTTCCTTTTATGGCCTGACTACTTTCGAGCACAAGCAAATGCCATGCGAAGAACCTGTTCCTCGAAAGTGCCTCATGCAGCCCATACTGTAGACTCCACGCTATTCGGTTCCAAACCGAGAAACAGCACAAAAAAAAACAATCAAACACACACAACGAATAGCAACCAATAACATCTGGGCAACTGTTCTTGGGAGACATTGTCTGCTTCTTGCATCCTGGTACATGATGAACCAAGCTTGGGGCCCGCAGCTGTTTTCTGTCTTACATTGTGGACCTTCCAGTACAGCGCTATACAAACTTTTGCAGAGATGACTGTTTCAGGACGGTTTGTGAACAAAGGCTTTGCTGTTGAAAAAGGCGCTCTTCAAAATTTAAGGCAGCAGGCAAGTGCACAGCATGTCGCGCGAAAACTCACCTGAAAGGAGGCAATGCGGGGGTGGGCGCCATATGTATGAACATGGAGAATGGCACTCTATTCCCTGTTCTGTTGAATAGTAAGTGGGCTGCGCAAAGCACAGTGATGAGGTTGGTGTCATAAAGCAGGACCGCAAAAAGCTTCAATCTGGGCCTTGCTCGAGAGCTCTTTACGCTTCGCCAAGGCCTCCTGAAGCAGCGCTTTTTGCCTCTCCACCTGGCATGCGCAGTGCTGGGAAGATATGGGCATTTCCCAGAATGGGGGTACCCCTTTATTTAAGGGCCCACAAAAATGGGGAGGACAGGGCTTGAGAACGTTTGTCTTTCTGGCCTGGGCTTTCTTTTGAAAGTAGGCATCGGCGAGGCTCTTCTTCAATGCTGCTGGCCGGAGTGCCGGATGTACGGGCGGCACTGGAAGCACCTGAGGCAAGGAAGCCAAGGGCACGGCAGGTTTGGTCGTAGGCGCAGGAGCTGCGACGGTCTCCGCCGGCTTCGGCGCAGGCTTGGGGGGCATCCCCATGCGAACTGCCGGACCCCCCTGGCCCGCTTGGCTCCCCTGGCTGCTCGGGCTGGCTTGGCTCACCTGGCTGGGTGGACCTGGTTCAGGTGACGGGGTAGGCGCCTTCTTGTCCGAGCGATCTTTGGGACTGAACGGGGAGGCGGCCGATGCTGATGCTGCAGGTTGGTAGGCTGCAGCCATCGGGGGTATCGAAGGCTCAGGGCTTGCTCTGGAAGTGGCCGCAGGAGCTTGCACACGCCTTGCACGCGCAGACACGAGCACCTGTCTGGATCGCTTGCCACGCTGGACCCGGGCCTTCAGCTTCTCCAGCTGCTGCTGCTTGATTCCAAGCTGGAGCTGCAAGAGCTGCTTTTGGGTCGTCTTCAGCTTTTCGAGCAGATCCCTGTCCTTCTCGTTCTTGCTCTCCCCTCCATCACTGGCCTTCGGCAGGTCATCATCGGCCTCCGGTGGTGCTGGGGCCGTGACATCAACGGGCTGTGCCCAGTCGGAGGGTTCGGACAGGCGCCTGCGCATCTGCTGCCTCCGGAGCAGAGCAGCTTCGGCCGGGGAGAGGTCGGCTGCATCGGGACCCGATGGCTGAGGAACCAAAACATCCATGAGCGCGGCGGCAAGCACTTCTTCGGGTGCCCTCCTCTTGGGGCCGCGCTGCGAGCGGCGCGCCATGTCGGATGAGGACCAGTTGATGTCCGCTGCGACGATCTCCACATCGCTGTCGCTGTCGCTCGCGTTGCCCGATGGCTTTGGTGGCGCCGTCGTCTGAGGGGAGGTGGCTTTGGCAGCCTTGGCACTTTTGGCACTTTTGGCACTTTTGGCAGCCTTGGCAGTTTTGGCAGCCTTGGCCTTCGCAGCTGCCGCAGGCGTCCCGGCAGGGTTCCCCACAGGGTTCCCCACAGGGTTCCCGGCGGGGGTGCCGGCAGGGGTCTCGGGAGTCACGGTGCCTTTGGACTCGGGAGCCGCTTTGGCCACAGCCGTGGCCTTTGCGGCCTTCGTGGCCTTGGGCGCCTTCTTCTTCCGCTTCACCGTCTCGGTCTTCTCACTCTTCTCATGCTCGCGCTTCTCCTTCGCCTGGGTGCTGGACTTGGGCGTGCCAACTTTGGGTGGATGAGGACTGGGTGGATGAGGAGGGGATGATTTTGCTGCTGATGGCTTGGCCTGTGGAGTGGATGGGGTGGACAGTGGCTCCGCTGGCTTGGGTGGCTTGGGTGGTTTTGCACCAGCCGCTGATTTGGCCTTTGGTGCTGGCCGAGCGACAGATTTGCTCTTGGGCTTCTCTTGCCTCCCTGCCGACTTGGCACTAGCACTCTTCTTCGGCTTGGTAACCTTCGGTGCAGGCGACGCAGGCGACGTGGATGAAGCAGAGGACTCGGACTTTCTCGTCACCAGCTTCTTCTTCGCAACGGTCTTCTTCACCGGAATCGCGTTGGTGGCCTTGGCCTTGGGCCTCGCCGGCGAGGAGCTCGGCGAGCTTGGCGAGCTGGACGCTGAATCCGGGGCCTTCTTCGTCGCCTTCGGCTTCGGTTGCTCTTTGCCTGCGAGCCTCTTCGGCGATGGGCTGCGTACGAACTTCGACCCACTGAGGAGACTGTCATCGCCACGCTGCGGCATCTTGGGCGGCGCTTTGGCCGGAGCTTTCGCTGTCTTTGCCTTGACCTTGGCCTTCGCCGGAGATGGGGAACTGGGACATCGGACCCGCGGCTTTGCCTTTCGGCGGCTGAGCTTCGTGTCCGAGCTGGAGCTTCGGGTCTTGACCTTGCTTTTCACGGGCTCCTTTCTCTTCTGAGGTGGCGACCGCCTTCTTGCACGATCTCTACTTGAGGACGAGCAAGCCTTAGCACTCTTCTGAGCAGCACGGCGCTTTGCGGGCGACGGCGGTCGGCGAGGGGAACGACCCCGTCGTGCACTGCGCGATCGGGAGCGCTTGGCAGATCGTTTCACGGGCTTGGGTGATCGCTTGGACGACCGCCTGGGCGACCGCCTAGGGGACCGCTTGGGCGAGCGCTTGGGCGACCGCTTGGGCGACCGCTTGGGCGATCGCTTGGGTGACCGCTTGGGTGACCGCTTCTCTCTGCGGTCCCTCTCGCGATCACGCGACCGGTCTCGGGCCTTTTTCAGGGCCTCCGACTTCTTGCGGCGCTTGCTGGAGGAGGAGCGCGCCGAGCGCGCCTTACGAGGCCTTCGGCTTCGGCTGCGGTCCCGAGACCAAGCTCTTAAGCCTTTCTGCTTCTCCATCTTCTCCTTTTCCTCCTGAAAATCACAGCACTTATACCATGCGCTCACCATGCCACGCACAGGGCAGTCCACTGTGACGCCATTTCAAGAAAGGAACACGCCATCAACCCTAAACCCTAAACCCAGAATATGTCCTCGGAAGATTTTCAACATGCTACAATCTTGCTGCTAACCTTCTACAAAGTCTTAGGGGGGACAGGGCCGGGGGCTGCCCAGACAGTTGAGGGTTTAGGGTTTAGGGTTTAGGGTTGAGGGTTGAGGGTTGAGGGTTGAGGGTTGAGGGTTGAGGGTTGAGGGTTGAGGGTTGAGGGTGTCCTTCTCCTCCCTTTCTCGGGCGGATTTTGCTGCTTTCTTTCTCGCCTCCGTTCCCTTCTCGTCGAGGGGAAGGTTGGCAAACAAGCCTTGGCAGAGTGCAAAACCCTAAACTCGGATGGCCCTTAACACCCTTTGTAAATATGATCCTCTTAAACCCAATGAGGAAAAATATAAAATGTCCCAAGGGCAAACCACAAACCCTGGACCCCAAACGCTAAACCACAAACATGGTGGCGGGATGACGTTTTTTGTTTCGGTCGTGCTTTGTCATTGGCCCGCTGCTCGCCGGATCCTTGCCACTTACCAGATACCCAGACCCCTGGAAGGATCCAAAAATAAAACCCCAAAAAAGTACCCTATACTACTATGGGGTCATTCTTGGGAACCCTTAAGGGGTTCTTTTTGGATCCTCCCAGGGGTCTGTGTAACTAGTGTAGTACAGGCGCACACAGAATAACAGCATATTCGTCACCGTTATAAAAAGCCTTATTCATTAACACGGTCCTTGCGGCCCAACGACTTGATTCTTTTAATGGGCAGTTAATTTTCTTAATGACATGCGTGAGACAAATAAGGCAAGAACCTCCTATAAAGACAGCCAAACTAGTGAATTCTCTGCGCTCGCTTGTTTGTCTCGCGCTGGAAAATGATTAAGGAGTTTTCCCCGTTTTAGTATATTCGTCGGTGAGCGCACTAATCTTTATCTGGTGTTCGAAAATTCTTGCAATGTACCTCTTGGCTTGTAATACTACACCATAAAACAATACCTTTTCCTCATAAAGTTGTGCAGGAAGAACACCGCTACTAGTATCATCGCCCTTTACTCGTTCAATCTTTTCCCGCTCGTTTGTTCGCTTCCCTCCCGTGCTTCCAGTAATAAAAGAGCATGAACGAGGAAAATGACATGAACGAGTGAATGCCCCAAGAAACCCTGAACTGGGGTAGAGGCAAAAAAGACGCATAGAGCCCGAAACCCCTTCATTTAGGAATACACCCTAAGTCATCATAAGGATCCCTATATATAAATTTAGGCATATTCCTTCATTAAGGGGTGTTGGGCTCTCTGGGGAGGTCAGGACAATGTTGAAACCAAGTCGCTGCCCTTCTCTCGCAGGTCCGCCTCAAGACAGAGGCAGCCATGTAGGATGGGATCTCGGGGCGGTGAAGGAAAGCCCACGGAACAAGATGAAATGTCACAGCATCATGGTCGGCGGAGGCTGCCACCCAAAACACTAAACCCTAAACCCTAAACCCTAAACCCTAAACCCTAAACCCTCGGTCCCGGGCACCTCTTGCTCAGAGGCCTTTGGGTCATCGCCCTCCTCGACCTTCGCTTGTCTTGCCTCGCCGGCCTCCCCTTCTTCAACCTTTGTCTCCTTTCCAAAAGAGAGAGAGCGGGTTCCGGGTTTAGGGTTTAGGCTTTATGGTTTAGGGTTTGGGGTTTGGGGTTCAGGGTTTGGAAAAATATGGGATGACTAGGGATGCAAAGAGGGTATGATAGCCAAAACGAGCATGAATGTGCATCCGGTCAGTTCTCAAAATTATGGCCCCTTTTTGGGTGCCCTAAATATTAGGGGCCGCCTTGTGATGAGGAACCATATTTAAGAAAACTCACCATATTTCTGCGAAGATGTGCCAAAATTGCAGGAAACTTGAGTTAATGAGTCAAGGTAGCCTCAGCCTCGAGCTGTGAATCGCTTGGTTCATTGAGCTTTCTTTGGCTTCTTTCCCCTTACCCCTCAACTTTCAACACGAAATCAACACGTTGAGTCCCCAGAAAAGCCGCACACATTGGCCGTATGGCAGGATCTGAGTTTGGAGACCCTGCTGCCTCAAGAGACATCAAGAGGATTCCAGGCTTCAGGTCAGGGGCAGTTTCAAGCATTGAGAACGTCTGAGGCCTCCCCTTGTAGCCCAGGAATTGAAAGGCTCTTCGCAAAATTTCGCAAAATTTGACAAGAATTGAAGGGCACTGGTTCTTCATTGATTTGGTGCGGCCCTGGATGTCACCAACTCTTAAGCACTTACAAGAACTCGAAGGTACCTCCGAGCCTGCAAGACTAGATGTGATCCTTTATGGCAGAAAACACATGCCGCAAAACATGCAACATCCAGGCTGTCTTACCCAACACACCTTTCTTGAGACTGGCACACACCGAACCGTAAACCTTAAACCCTACACCCTAAACCTTAAACCCTATACCCTAGACCACCCTAAACCCTAAACCCTAAACCGATTTTCAGACTCCTTGGGGGCGTCGGCCGACACCTTGGGCTCGATCGTCGCAAAGGGTGCCAGGGCCGCTTCTAACTCAGCCTGGGATCGGACTGCAGGGTTTAGGGTTTAGGGTTTAGGGTTTAGGGTTGAGGGTTTAGGGTTGAGGGTTTAGGGTTGAGGGTTTAGGGTTGAGGGTTTAGGGTTTAGGGTTTAGGGTTTGGGGTTTAGGGTTTAGGGTTAGGGTTTAGGGTTTCAGGCAAGTCACCAGCTTCTGCATTTGCTCTTCCTTGGCCTTGCATGCCAGCATAGCCCCCACCCTAAACCCTAAACCCTAAACCCTAAACCCCAAACCCCAAACCCCAAACCCTAAACCCTAAACCCTAAACCCTAACCCCAACCCCCCCCCCCCCAGAACATCACTTGACGATGCCCGCGCGCACGCCTCGCCTTGTCCTCAGGGCCATCCTCGGGGCTGTAGGCCGCCTTCGACATTGCGAAAAAACCAATCGGGAAAGGGCCAAGCATGGGCAAAGCAATCCGGAACCCCGCCCCCCAAAACCATCCCAAACCATCCCAAACCATCCCAAACCATCCCAAACCATCCTAAACCATCCTAGACCATCCTAAACCATCCCAAACCCCTCCGCCCTAATCCTGAAACCGCCTAAATGGCCCTCCTCAGGCTGCCTTCGCCTCGTCGCCTTTGTCCGGGCTGGCCAAGGCCATAGCCGGGCTTCCCGCAGCCGGGCTTCCCGGAGCCGGGCTTCCCGGAGCCGGGCTTCCCGGAGCCGGGCTTCCCGGAGCCGGGCTTCCTGGAGCCGATCTTCCTGTAGCCGGGCTTCCTGGAGCCGGGCTTCCTGGCTTTGCCTGGCAGATACCGTAAAACACAACTGCGTGGCCAGCTTTTGGAACGTCACTGTCACGCATCGTGCTCTGTGTGGCTCGTGAGGGCCTTGCCTCACTCCCACGACTCAAGAAACGAAAACGGATGACCCTATCATCCGCACAAAGCCCTTTCTTGAAGCAGAGGCGCAGTTGGATCTCCTTCTCCCTGAGGCACCCTGGAATCGGAAGCCACCTCCCAAGAGAGATGTGGGGACGCGTGCACGGCCTGCGCTGCGATGGCTGGCCTCCGCAGCAGCAGAAGCGACGCAACCATCGCCAATCAAAGAGGCATCCTTGTGGCTGGATGCGCCCACGGAAGAATCCTGCGACTGTGCGAAGACAGTAGGGGGAAGCTGGGTCTGAGCACTGCATGTGCTGTCAGCTGTCTGCGCCGTCTACTTCACCACAGCACGACATCAGGAGTCTGCCATGAGTTGCGCAGGGCAGGGCGGCGGTGGACTTCATTCCTGCTCTTCGCTCTTCTGGTCGGCTTCGTTCTGATGGACGTCTTTGGTCTCGGCTGCCTTGTCGTGTATGCTGGAAACAGCTTGCAAGCACGGCCTGGGTTAGACATGCCTACCGTCGATCGTGCGTTTGTACGGATTTCATGCAGAAGGGTAGTCGAGCTTAGCCTTTGGAGCTCCAGCCTCTTCCTGGACTTGTGCATCAGTAGCCGGCACAGAAGTTTCAGCCTCTGCCCTCTCTGCCTGAAGAAGGACTGCCAGGGACTGCTGCGCAGAGCTGTCTGCTTGGTAGGACGTGCACAAAACGCAATCAGGGCGAGACAGACATCTGCGCGTGACGAAAGCCAACTTCAATCGGACCAAGGCACACTCTTTTCCCTTGGCTTCGCAACCTACGCCGTGACAACAACGAGGCAGTCAAGGGCAGCTCCGAGCAAAGCGTGCTCACTCGAAGCAAAGCCAACGCTGAAAAAACTGCAGACAAGAACACAGGCTTAGCTGGCCTGGGACTCCTCCGGCTCAGCAACCGGCTCAGCAACCTGACGCTTGTGACACTTGGGGGACGTGGAAAAGAGAGAGCTCAGCCTAGCAATATTTACTGCGTTCCCTCACATTTGCGCCTTCTCGGGCCCATCTGCTCTTGAGCCTGCTGCCGGATCAAGAGCTGCAGATGCCACGACGTCAGCGGACTCCTTGCAAAGATTTCTTTTGGGGGGTTTAGGGTTTAGGGTTTGGGGTTTAGGGTTTAGGGTTTAGGGTTTAGGGTTTAGGGTTTAGGGTTTAGGGTTTAGGGTTTAGGGTTTAGGGGGGTTTCCAAGCTCTCAATCAAGGGAGCTGGGACCCGCCTCAGCACCAGCCTCGACCGCCTTCTTCTCTGCTGCTTTCTCTTCTCCGGGCTCCTCTCGTGTTGGGTTAATGGGGTTTAGGGTTTAGGGTTTAGGGTTTAGGGTTTAGGGTTTCGGGTTTAGGGGATCCCAAGCCTGGGGGTGACAATCGGCCTGAAAACAAGCAGGTGATTAGCTGCACTTTCTGGTTCTCTGAAGCCGGTTCTGCGATGTCGTCACCCAGCGTGCACTGCAAGGACATGGAAGCAGCTGGAGCGATTCTCTGGCGCACGGGGGCCTCCCCAAAGGCCTGGTACTATACTTCACCATACTACACCAACCAACATCTAGATTTCAGGCACTTGTCTACTCCAAATTCCAAGACCAATCTATACTGTACTGTCTCAGTATGTAATCCTAAACCCTAAACCCTAAACCCTAGCCCCTAAACTCTAAACTCTATAAGAACAAAATCTCCGGCAAGCGGAGAAGGGGGGTTGGAGAGCAAGGCCTCGAGGTACAGATGCTGGGCATCAGCGTCAACAAAGCGGCTCAGAACAGCAACTCTTTACGTAGACCTTGCTTGGCACAATCTGGGTTAGGTTTGGGGGTCCTGCAAAGAGCAAGTGATAGTTTTATCAGGAGTATATGGTGTTCTGTACATGGACCTTGCTTAGCATAATTCTACACCAGCCTCGTTTATAGACACACACTGTGCTATATGGTGGTTTCCGAACTTAGGGTACCTTATTGGCGGTATTATAGGGGTCCCTATTTCCGTACATAACCGGAAAACTTCAAAATCGTCCAGCCTATGCCCGTGCAGACAGAACATGGATGAATGCAGCGTCCTTGTCTTCTGACCCTGCTTCTGGCCGCACCGTCACTCCCTGCAGCACCAGCGACAGTTGATTCAACCCACGAAGGTTTAGCGTTTACGGTTCATATATGTCGCAATCAAGCTCCATCCGCCTTCCAATCATCGGCAACTGTTGCGATCTGAATGATGTCTGAACTACATGGGCTGACTCCATCCGAGTATCCGGTCCAAATCTGCAAGGGCCCCTCAATACACTGAACTACATTGCGTTCGCAACATGAGGCTGCCCCTCCTGCTTTGCGTCCACGGCCTTACAGCCACTGAGTGAAACCCTCAGGCAACTGAAGTCCGGAGAGAAGCAAGGCGCAATCCGGCACAGAGTGCGAAGAGAGCATAAGTCCATAAGAGCATAAGTCCATAAGAGGTTTAGGGTTTAGGGTTTAGGATTTAGGGTTTAGGGTTTGGGGTCACTAAAAGTCCATCCGAGAGATTGGGGGGGGGGGGGTGCTTGTGCCAATTATGGGGCCTTTTGAGGAAGAGTCGCACCTTTGGGCAAAGGGATCCGGCCTTGGCGTCCTCTTTTTCGGCCACCTGGCGCAGGAGCGGAACTTCATGGGCTGGCCAAACTGAGGCCTAAACTTGCCTAAACCCTAAACCCTGAACCCCAAATCTTAAACCCTAAACCCTAAACCCTAAACCCTAAACCCTAAACCCCCCCCCCCCGGTTGCTGCGTGGAAGCCCCTGTGACCTCCTCGGGCGCCGCAGCGGGGGCTTCCTCCGCTTTTGGCCGCTCGTGGGCCTCCTGTGGGGAGGCCTTCACGGCATCTGCGGCAGACTCCTGGAGCAGGGTTTCGGGTTCAGGGTTTAGGGTTTAGGGTTTGGGGTTTGGGGTTTGGGTTTTAGGGTCCGCCCATTCTGGCGGTGTGTTGAATGGTTTTGGGGGAGGGAACCCTCCCCCTCCCCTCCCTTACACCCCCAAAAACCTCAACTGTGGGGGGGCGGGTGGGGGGGTCGGTGCACAATTTTCTCATGGAGGACCGCGCCACCCGCACGACGTAAACGCATTGACCATAGGCGCTTCAGCACAGGCGGTAGGGGCTCCTGGCAAAACCAAACCCCACCCCCCCCTTTTTCCCCCACCACACCAGTCTTGACGCTCAACTCCTCGTGTTCGGGCCCCCGCCCCCCCCTTCCCCCCCACCCCCTTTTCCCACTCACCCCCACTCCCCTGGCGAAATTTAGGGTTTTGGGTTTAATTTTGGGTTAGGGTTTTGGGTTCAGGGGTTTGGGGCTTACAGTTTAGGTTACGCCACCCGCACGACGTAAACGCATCGACCAGAAGCGGTTCAGCACAGGGTGTGGGGTTTAGGGTTAGGGGTTTGAGGGTTGAGAGGTTTCGGGCCTCTTGGGTCGGCGGCCTGAGCCGGAGGCTCCTCAATTTAGGGACTTTAGGGACTTTAGGGACTTTAGGGACCTTTGGGCACGGCTTGCTACGTCCAAGATACGTGTCAGTTTAACATGCAGGAGTCTGCTGGGCAAGGCTGCTGCTAGTCGTCGACACACATCGCCCAGTGTTCTCCCCGAGTCTGCCTCAACCGCCGAGGACTCATTGTCCGGCATTCAAAAGGCCTCGGTGGCTCTCAGGACGCATTTGCGCGAACAAATTCTTGCACCCCTCGCAGCTCATCAACTCAACGCTTGGGTCTTGCCTCTTCCAGCAGCACACATCCGGCAGCCTCCAGGCGGTCGAAACAAAATCACCCAAACGGTCCGCCTAATCCAAAAGAGGAAAAATTGTGCGGAGGCCACCTGCAGCCCCGCATCCATATCGCACGGACAGGGGATATCAGGAAGTCTTTGAATGGGCTGGGATTGTATATGCTAAGACAGCATCGCTCAGGCCAGTTCAGTTGGAATTGAACCTACTTTAAGTTGTGGCCTTTTCCATGTCGGTACACTTGCTTGGCTGGTTGTTTTTTTTTCATGCTCCGCGAGCTGCACAATCGTACGACAGGCCCGAATGGCAGCGGCCCACGCCGAGATCCGCTGTACTTTAGGGTTTAGGGTTTAGGGTTGAGGGTTCAGGGTTTAGGGTTTAGGGTTTAGGGTTCAGGGTTTAGGGTTCCATGCTCATGCTCACCAGCTTGACTCCACTCCACTCCGAAAGCCGGTCAGAGGCGGGGATCCCTGGCAATGCGCAGGGTAGGCAGGCCCGAACCCATGATTTCTTCGACTACCTGAACCCCAAGAAAGAAGAGGCGAGAGATAAGGTCCCCAACAGCAAGATCTTGCTGCGGATGCGTGTGCACAATTCTCCCCAATGTGACGTTTTGTTCCAGTTGGTCGCGTGCTTCTAGCCTGTTTCGCTATGCACCACCTTGCCATTTCGCAAGGGCTGACTGCGACACCAGTGAGACTGAGCACATATTGAAGCTACATCGGAAATCAGAAACAATTTCGCAAACATGATGCTGACAAAGTTGGGACAGTTGGAAATCTGAATGAACAAAGGCGGCAAAAAACTACCTTAACCGCCTAGTTACCCAAAATAAGAAGCTACTATACCCCCAAAGTAGGAAACTGTAGCCCATAACTACAAGGTACGATGCAGATGTGACAGCACCTTTTTCGTTCTCGCCCGCTTCTGTAACTTCGACCTCTCTAGCTGGTCTGAAGTCCAAGTCTGACTGCGCATATGGGGGTTTCCGAAATTAGGGGGTACCTTGTTGGGG